TATTGAGCTGTTATTCACACACCATAAATTTCACCCTTTTAAAATGTATACTTCAGTGGTTCTTAGTATATTCACAAAGTTCTGTAACCATCACTGCTATCTGATTTTAGAACATTTCCACCACTCCAAAAAGAAACTCCATACCCATTACCACTGATTCTCTATTTTGCACTCCACCAGTCCGTGGAAATCAATAATCTACTTTCTATCTCTGGATTTGCCTATTCAGGACATTTCTTATAAATATAATTATACAATATACGTGGCCTTTTGCGACTGGCTTCACTCACTTAGCATAACGTTTTAAGGATCATCGATATTCTAGCCTGCATCAGCACTGCCTCTATTTGAAGGCTAAATAGTATTCCGCTGTGTGAATACATCACATTTAGTTTTTCCATTCGCCAGTTGCTTGACATTTAACTTATTTCCCCTTTTACACTATTATGAATAAAGCTTCTATAAACATCCATGTATAAATTTTTGTGTGGATGTCCATTTTTAGTTCTCTTAGGGCTATAACTAGGAGTGGAACTGCCAGATCATATGGTAACACCGTCGTTCAGTTTTTGAGAAGCCGCTAAACTGTTTTCAAAAGTTGCTTTTAAGTTCCTAGAGAGTAGAGAGTATATCTTGGTTTCTTTTCTTAGTGCACACTTACCTCAGCGTATCTATAATAAATTCTCAATAAATATTCGTTGAATTAAATTAAGTATCTGTATGCTTAAGACATGTTGATGATACAATGTTCAATATATTAATACATTTGAGAATATTAAACTTTTCTTTCATTTTAATGTAACTTTCAGAATGTGATGTCACCATGATGTAATCATTTATACTCTCTAGATAACAGGTAAATTATAAAATTCTCTCACCCTCTTACCTTATCCTTTCCTTGTTTTTGGTTAAGAAAAATGAGATTTATGATATTCTATTTACTCATCTACTTAAATCACATAATTAATACATGAATGAGAGGGACTTGTTATTTTTTTTGAGTGTTGAATTGTATTTGCTCATATAATGTTTGGCATGAGTGATTCCTTCTCTATTTTGAGATTTGTGGATATAAAAAAAGCTTAACTTTTGTTTACTTACAAGAGCTATCCAGACTTAAATGGAGCGTTCTATATTATATTTGGCAATCTTGCTGATGGCTCTTTGCTCTTAGATAAATAGATGAATATTTTAAGGAAGAGATTCATACTCAATGGTATGAAAGTACCTTATAAGGCAGGTGAAAATAACATCTTCAGAACAGAATACTAAGAGTATTAAATAAAAATAAGTATGAATTATATCTACATCAGTGATCGCTGCTGATACAAATTACCAAGAAGTTAGAAGCAAATAGACTCTAATCTTTTAGGGTCTGTTTTCTCCCATAACAAGTTCACAGTTGAATATTCTTCAGTGAGATCTTATGATAATGTGTCCCATTCAAATATTTCAAAAACAAAGACTACCCTCCAAGAAATATCTGCTGGATTTCTCCTATGTCAACCCTCAAATCCATAAAAGCTATTCAAAGTTGCTTAAATAAAATTTCAAGGAAAAAGCACAGTCTCTCTAAAACAATGCTTACTGAGGAAACTAAGAATGTCTTAAAAATAATAAAATAAAAGCTTAAAATGTAGGCCAATTTTACCTTGAAACATGAAGGTTTACAAACAGCTAAGGAGAAAGTGGAGCATTTCTGAAGGCAAATTCAAAATGAAACATAGAGGGAAAACAGTTACTTCCATTAGTGGATCCTTAACGTGTGCGTGTGTGTGTGTGTGTGTGTGTGTGTGTGTATGTGTGTGTGTGTGTGTAGTTTGCAAATCAAATTTTCAGAGATATCTAAGGTAATCTCTAGAAATTGTAAGTAGAATAGCTTATGGTTATTAATATGAAAAACATAGGGGGAGAGTAGCATTTTTAATAAAACAAACATGTAATTTTTATATATTTGTGAAATTAAAAGAGCATCTGAAAATAAACAGGAAGGTTTGGGGCTGTACTTCTTACTCATTTGTGTACTTGGTCCCTATGACAGTAGGACTCTTTGAAATATTGGCATACACACATCAGCCCCTGAAAAGAGTTTCATTTTTTTACCAAACACACCTGGTGTGATGGTGGGTAAAGTTCCCACAGAGGTATTCACTGCAAACCACTCCAGAAGGAATCCTTTCCCCGAGATTGAATAGTCAGAAGAAAACCGAAATGTCAAAGAATTCCTAGTGGAGCTAAAAGATTCAATCTGGGTACCACAGTAAGTCCCAATCAGGCGGGAATGAATGCCAAGCCCATCATAAATCTGCATGGAAAAAACAGATAATAGAGCAATGAATTCAGGCAATGACGTCTATTTTTTCTTTCTTAAGAAAAACTA